GACCGGGTCCAGAGCTAGCCATCTCGTTCACCTTGGCGGTCCCGGTGCCGGCCGACCCCGCGCGCAGCACACGGCCCGCCCGTACTACGCCGCCCCATGGACACGAGCCGTTGTACAGTACACAGATTAGTGCATGTAGATTTTTCATCTATCCGCGCAGCATCTCTCACGTTCTCGTGCACCAAAGACCTGGGACTGTTCTGTGGTGGACGTTTGTAGGTGACCGCCGCCGGGCCGGACCCGCCGCCCGCAGCAGCTGCGGAAGGGTCGGCGCCGAGCAGGCGCGCCTGTACCGCACGGCAGGCGTGCGGGAGGGTGGCCTACTCGCACGGCGCCCACCCAGGAGGTGAGCACGGGGGACACACTGAGACGTCAGGACGATGATTCAGCCACTTGCACACATCGGTTTGCCCCGCCACTTCTCAGCTCCATAGCTTCGTCCCCGGATGTTCACACGTCAGTGGTGGGGCTCGTCGTCAAGCGTCCAACCACCCCGCAATCAACGACGGACAGCCATTCCTGCCAACGTTCAGAAAGTAAGGGAGAGCAGCCACAGGAGGCCAGCATACGGGGCCGGGCAGCAGCACCCCCCAGTCTCTCCGGAGCGACATCTGAGGAGCCGGTGTCCCCGCGGTCTGGTCCCCGCAATAAGCTCCCTTCTGCCCCACCGCGGAGCGCCCAGGAGCGCCCACGAATACTGCCGAACAATTGCAAGCGGGGCGCAAAGATGAGAGAAAAAGGGGCGGGATTATAATGTCGAGGATAAACACGACACCTTCGGTATTCAAAATATACAACATGGCGTACACTGTCTCAATAAAGGCGTAAATGAACGGTTCAGCCGGGCACGCGCCCGGCGCCGGCGCGCACCGCACGCCCACCGCCGAGCCCACCGCCGATCTGGCGTCCCCCAGTGTCTCTGGAGCGGGGCGTGGCGGGGCGGGACACGCCAAAGGGGACCGGACGCGGGCGGCCCCGCCCCGCCCCGCCCCACCTCGGCTCCCCCTTTTGACTTTACTCTGCGGTTCCATGGCGCCCGCCCATGCCATACAAACGCTCAACGGTAAACACGGCAGGGCAGGCATTGTGGCACGGCAGCAGAGAGCTCTGCGCGCGGCGCCCGCCCGACGGAAGAGAGAGGTGTTTCACTAGGCTTAATTCGTTTTCGTTCTTTTAAGGGATTAGAGTAATGAATGGGTCATCTCGTCATACAAAAAACACACATATTCTGAAATATATTTTTGTCGCTGTATTCGGTAAGGTCATAGACCTTGGATGCGGAATGCGTGCCATAGACACAGCGGAGGATGTTATGGTTAGCTCCGACCTGTTGCGGGCGGTGAGTAAAGAGTCGGGTCATTGGGGTCAGTTTTACTTCCAAGACGGGCTCCTAGCTGCAACGAGAGAAGTCCCCGGCCTATAGGCAGGCAACTCATGACTGGTGAAACAAACCCACCCGGGAGTGCGGCACACAGAGCTGAGCTGTGGGCCTGCATGGTGTGCTCCCGAGTGCACCCGCGTGTTTGTTCACAGAGCCACGGAAGGGTCATGCTGAGGCCCCCCCCCCCTACCCGCCTTCCTCCACGGTCCCTCCACCCGTCTCGTCCCAGGCGCGTTTCAAAGTCACGGAAGGCATTTAAGACCGGTTCAGGTTCGGATCCTAAGCACTCGCTCGCTCGCTCACTCACGTCGGCCCTACCTACCTACCTACCTCTCTCCACACTCTTCAAAAAAAAATGAAGAAAAATATACTAATAAAGGGGGAAGGACTATAACATCAGCCTTACCTCGCTCAGTACCTTTCTTCCCATCCTCTCC